CAAGAAGATGTGATGCAAAAAATCTTTTAAGTTATCCCAATAAAAAAAAAGTTCTTTGGTACCCTTCTCTAAGGGTTAACAAACAAGCAATATGTTGAACAGTAAATATGCAATGCTGAATTAAAACAAGTGTTTATCAGATTGTTTCATTGCATTTTGTTCTGAAGTAAACTTTGTATAATCTGTGAATATATCTGTTCCTAATAATTAGTCAATCCTACAAGTGAGGATCCTTAAATCTTTCAGGTAATGCACCAGTTATCCCAGCTATAGGAGCCAAAATCTAATTTTGATTATCTTTGTTACCAGTGACTCGGTATCGGCTGGTTGCTACAAATGTTAAAAAATAATATAAAGGAGACACCAAAAAGCATGAGTGAGTGCTCTTTTTAGAATAGCATAAAGTATTGTACTACTGTTCATCTCTCACATTCTGTTCCTGCACACTGCCAGTCAGCTGACTGACATAAATTCAGCCACATTTTTTCTTGCTTAGGTAAGAGCTGCTTGGAAATATTTTGGATCCTGAAAAACAACGTGTAAAAGAGCGGCATACATCCACCATGTTAACAAAATGCAGTTTTATCTAAAGAGAGGAATTCAATCAACAGCCTCCACCTAAGAGTCTGAAAACTTCCTCATAGTAAATGCCCATGTTAAAGGGGTACAGCAATGCAAATACGCTTTTATTTTTTGTAAATTCAAATTTGCTTTTGCTCAAAGCAATCAGCCTTTACATAAATGAGCTTTATGCGAGTGAATCAGAAAATTACAATTTTGATTTTTACCATTTGTTTATTCAAAGAAAGGTAACCACATCTTTATGAAAAATATATGGGTCAATATAACATTTACAAAACAGCTATCAACATTTTTACATATAAATAAGATTTAAATGCAGTCCATTCAATACACACCTTAAAAACTAAACAGAAAAGTCAGAAAAAAAAAATCTATTTTACAAAGTGGAGTTCACAATTTAAGGATCTGAGCCTTTACTTTCAAGTTAAACTGATTATGTCTTGACAGAATTAAAGTGTTAATTTAGAAAATCACAAACCTCAGGACTGAATCCTGTTCTGGTTTAAGACTTGGGGAAAAAGCAAACAAAACTCTGACCATCATGTAATACCAGAGAGACACACTGTAGGTCTCAAAGTTTGCTGTATTTGGCAACTTTTTAGAGGATTGATCCAGCCATCCATCGTCTATACCTGCTTATCCATGCAACGTCGCAGGGTGAGAGACAAGAGACAAACAACCTGACATGCACACAGTCACAACTCAGGACGTCTAACCTAACGGTCATGTTTTTGGATTATAAAGGAGGCTGGAATACCTGGAGAGAGGACCACACAGAATCCCCTGGGAGGGATTCAAACCTAGGACCCTTTTGCTGTAAGGAAACAGTGCTAAATGCAACAGTTATTTGGAAGACGTTTCGTTTGCAGAGTTGTCATATCTACACGGCACCAAGGAGATAAAACAGCTCTGAGAGAAGGGCCACTTCAAATAAATCAAACCTCATTTAACAAACTAACAAAATCAGTTTTGATTCATTTATCAAAATAAAAAGCAAGCGCATCGATCTGATAAAATTTAGGTTTGTGTGTATATTTGGGTTTATAGTTTATTTATCAAACTGACAATGTTGAAAAATGAGTGTTGATAAGCCTGGAGTGCAGGACTTAAGGTCTACACATGACTTATTTTAACCATGTTAAAACTTTTCTTCATCCAGAGTCCCAGTGCTGATTTTTCAGCTCTATGTGTAGTTTTTAACAACAGCCTAGCATGCTGCAAATAAATCAATAAAGAAAGGGAAAGTTTCATATCTTAATGTATATATCTTAGTTTCATATCTTAATGTATAACAGGTCATGATGTAACATTTTTAAGATAGTACAGCCAGCTCAACCGTCAGCCATCGTTTAACTGTATTAGCTTTGCTTTGAGGAAATACGCAGATATATTTTGGAGAAGCTATATTTGCCAATGATAAATTTTTGGTCAATAAAATACTTTAAAATTTTTAAATCAAATAAAATTGCAACACCAGCTCCTAAGCTGGGCATCAACCCTGTTAGCCTGAAAGAGGGACAGATAAATACTGAGAAAAGCCTACAATTTATATTTGTTCCACAACTGTTGGGACTAATTGGGGGTTTACTTTTAAACCAATATTGCTAACTAAATCAAGGTTGTTTTTAGGCTAGTTTGTGTGTTTGTCTTTCCATCTGAGTACAGGATATCTTGAAAGGTTATGCACAGATGGAGGTGTTTATCAAAGGTGCACTTCAGTCCAAGGAGCAATCTATTAAATTTTGGTGATGATCCAATTAATCAGGATGCAGGAATTTTTTTTAAAGAATTCTTTAACGTTATTTGGCAGAACAAGCAGTTCCCCCCTAAACCAGAGAGTGGCAGCAGTGACTATTGACTGCTACAGCATTGGAGTCAAAGAAGTCCAGAAGTATTAGTGTATACTAAAGACAAAAACAGAGGAGCCTCGCTCAAAGTCTCAAACTGCTGATCAAAGAAGAAGGCGGAGTGAATGGAGAAGGTGCGAGAAGAACAACGACAGAATCTGAAGACACGCTGTGCCTTAATTATAAATGTATGAAAGGCTTTTAAGGAAGTTGTTGCCAAAGGTGCAGCTAATGCCAAGGAAAAACTCATTCAAATTTGGTAATGATCGAGATCATGTGTGAGTTTTAGCTATAGGTTTAATCTATAGCGGAGGTCTGCGCTCTCAGATTGTTTTTCTATTTAAACATTGAGTCAGAAACTACATTATTTACTTGCTTGTGAGCCGCCATATGCTCTTAGAAGTTCCAAGTCTGCCTCTCTCCAAGTGCTTTTCTAGTTTTATTTATTTTGAGGTTCCTCTGCCCTGACCACAATCATGTAGATGTTTCAGTTCAAGGTTTTGCAGTTTTCAGTACCTTGAAATCGTTCTAGTCCAGAATCCATAGTGGCAGGACTGTTACTGTTGTGTAGAAAAGTGCTTACTTCTGAAGCATGCATGGATCTGCCTCTGCCTTCTCTTCCCTGTGGAGGAAAACCCACTTCAAGCATATTACCACCTTCTAAAGGGCTGGAGAAAGTTAGTGTCAAACTATGATTAAATGTAATGTAACCAAAATGTAGTGCCTACTCAATATAAGATTCTGATACATTCTGATTATATTTCAAATTCAATTAATTAATGAGGTTTACGTGAAAAAGCCAGTAACCAATGAAGGCCTCAAAAATGAAAGAATGATTTGGCCTCCCTTCCTCACCTGGAAGCCTGGCTCAGAGCTTAAAGGCCCCTCATAGGAAGGAAAACAGCGACTGAAAGGTTTGGTTGCTGTTATTTCAAACATTAATCACTACCAGATCAAGACACTGAGACTCCACGAATGGAAGGAGTGTGACAGTTCAGAAAAATCAATTTTTAGGTCAGTTGTTGTCAGACATTTTTATGATAAATATACATTTTTCATTCAATTACGGTACATAATTTGGGAAACTAACAGTTGCCCAGTATTTTTGAAAAGATATTCCTCTAAAAAGATTTTTTTTTTTTTTACTTTCTCAAGTATTAGGTTTGTGGTAGTTCAATGTTAAATTAAATCTTAAAATGATAATTTACCAAAAACTTATGTTCATAATTGTAAACACAATTAATCCTTTCAACTTGGACTAAAACTAAGCCTGTTATTTAATTCATATGAAATAAAACAGAATTGTGCAAATCTAAAATTATTGCTTGATTTAGTCTTAAAAATGATCAAACATTTTGGTGCTGAAATGCTACTATGAGATGAGGTAAATCGAATTAATCCACAGCCCATCCGCGCAGATACCACAAACAACCTGTAGGTTGGAGGTTATGTCCCGTAATACGATCAGTGGACCGTTCACACTAATGCCCCATTTACGCAACCCCTGTGAACCCGATCCGTGCCAAGTTCAGCCCGAGCTTGGATCAGTTAACCGTGCCGAGCTTGGTTCTTACGAACCATTTTTACAAATCACGGTAGCACGGCTCTTCGTGTCGTATCGCAGGTCCACAATACTACAGCTCTAAAGGCGGGAAATACGCGAACAAAAATGGCAGTGCCCATAATATTTAGGAACTTATGTGCCTGTGCCCAAATTTCAATAAATGCCTCGGTCTTGGCATCATCCCAGGTCGCACCACGCTCTTTTGATGCCATTTATTGTTAATAGGCTGAGAAGAAGTGGGTGTTGTGAATAGGTAACCTGACTCCGCCAGATGGATTTGCTGGATTTGCTCCGCATATCCATCTGGAAACCTTCCGTTGAAGTAATTTTGGGAAGGGGCGAAAATACTGGTTAGCTGATTGGCCTATGTTGGTGATAGACGGGCCAAATAAACCAATCAGATCAACGAAGCATATGACGTACTAACAGAGAGACGACGAAGAGGAGCCAATTGATAGATCAAACTCTTGCCGAAACCAGTCGGGAGAAGAGCAAAAACATCTTTTCCTCTAAGAAAAGCCTCCAGAGCAGTGTTTTGCTCTTCTTTCAGTGAAGAAATACTCTGTAATTCCGATAAAACTTGCTCGATAGCCACGCTAACGCTAGTTTCATCGGCTGAAGCCGCCATGTTCTTTAGACTGAACTGTCGCGCTTCTCGTTGCGTCACACCTCAACCTGCCTCAAAGCCAACGCTGATTGGACGTTCGTTTGGTGAACTGTTCCAAATATTCTTTAACGGAAAGTAGCCACTGATCTGCGACTGAAACCTTGAAAGCTTGCGAGATCAGAATGGTCTCACGAGACTAGTGAATTGGTGAAGAGATCTTCAAAATGGGTCAGTTGACTGTAAATAGGAGATGAAGCGGTCTGCTCATGCGCTCTTTGTTATCAGAGAACCGAGCCACAGATGAACCGCAGCGAGCCTTACTTTTAAACTAGAACTAGGTTTAGCATTGTTCGGTTGCATCTGACACGATCCAGATCAGTTGCTTTCCATTTACAGTTACCATGCTTGGACCGTTCTCTCCACGGTTTCTAAAGGGTATTGTAAATGGGGCTTAAGTTTCATCATCTGAATCGAATCCAAACAAGGAGGAGCAGGTGTTCCGAACTTCATGCGCCTTCAGTTCCTCCAATGTGCTGAAGGAGGACAGGCACTTGCTGCAGCGATGTCGGACCTTCTCCGCTGCTTTCTCCTCTTTTCCCGTTTCTGAAGAGAGTTCTTTCTTCTTGCGCCTAAATTTTTTGACAGGCAGCTGATCGCCGGATCTCCTCTTCCGCATTGAGAGCACCGATTCGTCCAGGTAGGTGCAGGGTGGTGGCCGGACGAAGGGGGTTTTCACAAACCGTGCGTAGGCGGGATCTTCGGGTTTAAAGGTCTTGTGCTCCGTGATGTGCGGTTCAAATATGTTCTTCTGGATTCCCTCTGCCAATGTGGACTCTTCTTGGTACTCTTTGATATTGATGATGTCAAAATTCAGGATTTTTTTCTGAGGTTTCGTTTTGGCTGGTTTAGCAGTACTTTGGGAGGAGTTGGACACCTCTGGAATCTCTTTAGTTACGACCTCAAATCCATTGACGGTGGGTTTATCTTCCACAGGTTCAAGGCTAACTGCGGCTGTCTGGCCATTATCATATTTGGATAAATGGTTGCTGTTGTCTAGACTAGTGGTTTCCCCATCTTCAGTTCGGTTGTTATCTGGAGTAGGACTCCTTTGGCTGTGGGCCTTTTTATTCTGAAGCCAAATCTCTTCGATTTTTACTCTCTGCTTCCAAGGAGCTTCTTCACTTGGCTGTTTTTTAATCCCAACTGGCAGGTCTAGTTCTTTCCTTTGTGGCGCCGGTATGTAATGCCTCCATTCATGGTCCGCAAGACCCTGAAAATCTGTGAAGAGCTTCTCACAGTCTATGTACGCGCACTGAGGTGTAAAGGGGTTGTGGCTGATGATGTGGTCCTTTAACTCTGGCTGTGTTGCAAAGCGTTGGGTACACTTCTCATGGTAGCAGAAGAACGGCAGAGGATCATTGTGGAGCTTCATGTGTTGCTTGTAGTGTTCCAAAAACTGTAGATGCCTGTCGGAGGAAAGCAGCCAAAATAGGGATTAGTGTAAAAAAAAAAAAAAGGGGGGGTGGGAAAAACAGGAGAAGACTTTTAGCACATTTAAGTAAGAGTGTGATCTAGAAACATCTCTACCTTTGACATCTAAGGACACAAATGTGAGGAATATAGAATAAGGATTAGACTAACTCAAAATAAATGACTTCATCAGTTTGAAATTCAGAGCTTCAAGTACTTAAAGTAATTTGTGTCTGACAGAAATAGAATAAAAGAAACTATTTTACACCAAAAGCTTTAATTTTCAATGGAAAAATAGTTACTGTAAACCAATGAAGTGCTTTGTGAAAAGATAAAGTCCTACACTTATCAACCAGTGCCAACAAGCCAGCAAAAACTTCAACAAATTGCTTAGAAAACTTATCATTTAAGGTAATCTGTCCAAATTTTGGCCCAGTCTTTGTTAAATGTATTTAGTTCAACTATATAGTAAGATACAGTAAGAACTGTATTAAAGGAGAAGTTCGGTTTTTTACACTTTAAGCCCATTTTCTGTAGTGTCCAGGATGAAATCGAATGATCGACACCAAAAGTTTGACAATTGCTCCTGTCTCTGCTTTTTGGCTCATTTAGAATCACCCCCTGGCTGCTTTAGAATGGCTTGCATAGAGCATGTCCGATAATGTCCTTAAAACAACCTTAAACGTTCTTTTTTTTAAAATATGCTACTCACCGGGTCGTCAGCGCTGTTCAATGACGTTCCAAAAAAAGTTTCGTGAAGAAAAAACGTTCCTGTAGTGTTTTATTTAGCATTTTGTAAATCCCATTGAGTTCTGTTGGAATAGTCAATATTCCCCTGCCACCGGAAACGGAAATGGGGCCTGTTTACACAGTTGTAGTCTTTTCGCTTCACTCTGTGTACTCCGACGTCGAGGTGCTAACGTCTCTGTTAAACACTTTAAAAAACTCTGAAAATGGAATACGAAAGGTGGATTCTTGATTCTCGACGTCGGAGTACACAGAGTGAAGCGAAAAGACTACAACTGTGTAAACAGGCCCCATTTCCGTTTCCGGTGGCAGGGGAATATTGACTATTCCTACAGAACTCAATGGGATTTACAAAATGCTAAATAAAACACTACAGGAACGTTTTTTCTTCACGAAACTTTTTTTGGAACGTCATTGAACAGCGCTGACGACCCGGTGAGTAGCATATTTTAAAAAATGAACGTTTAAGGTTGTTTTAAGGACATTATCGGACATGCTCTATGCAAGCCATTCTAAAGCAGCCAGGGGGTGATTCTAAATGAGCCAAAAAGCAGAGACAGGACCAATTGTCAAACTTTTGGTGTCGATCATTCGATTTCATCCTGGACACTACAGAAAATGGGCTTAAAGTGTAAAAAACAGAACTTCTCCTTTAAGGGCTGTGTATACTCCCGCAGCAGTGTGTCACAGTTAGCTTGTCAGGGATGAAGCAGATATTTTTGATTTATGCCCAACTTTGAAGCATGGTCTACTTTATGTTAATCCTCGCCACAACGCAAGAGGGACAATCACGAATTAGCTAGGATTGTGGGTGTCCGTGTGTCGGTTTGACAAGCTTGTCCGCCGTCTACAACCCCTCATCCAATGCGGGACGACACACAGTTCAACCGTGAGTGTTCCCCAAAGACTGGCTGTGGCGCTGCGTGATTTGGCTTCAGGTGCAAACCAACAGACCGTCGCACAGAGCCACAAACTAACATCCTGTAAGGTCTCTGGGAAAGTGTCCGAGGTGTGCCAGTTATTGTAGACCAATCCAAATCAAAACTGTTTTCTTTGTGTTTTTAAGAAGAGAACATCTAAATTGTTTTAGTTTTTTTGTCAGGGTGATGGAATTACAGGACCTCAAAAAAAAGTCTTTAGGTTTCAAACTAAAAGAAACGGATGAAGAGAGATGTTATTGTGCAGCATTATAGATGACAAGCTAACATCCAGAATGTCTTTGCTAATAGATTACATTTTTGTTCAGGCTGAACATTTTTGCCAAAACTCTAAATTCTGATTTTCTCAATTAATATTGTTAATAAAAATGTTTCACTCCAGACTTTTTTTCTCTATATAAATGCTTCTTTGTCCATAGTCCATCTTTACTAAACTTTAATGTTACCGCAAAATGTGCTTACTTCTACTAGTATGTATGGATATGCACGCAAGCTGCAACTCTCCTTCTTGTGTGGCAACAAGCTCACTTTAATATGATAACTGCCAACTAAAGAACTGGAGTGAGAAAGTTAATCGTCTTTCTCTTGTTAAATGCAATGTGACCAAAATTGAGCGCCACAGTGATTTGAAATCTGTGTTTTTAAAATTGCGATTTTAATGCAAATGCAAATGTCGTCTAATCAGAGTTGTAAATCTGATAGAAATTGACAAAAGACATCTTCATAGATTTATTTAGAAGAAAAAATGTAGCTAATGGAGGCGAAAATTTTATAAGAAAGTGTTTCTAGAAAGTTTTCTTTTAAAGGAGTTTAAACCTAAACAATGAGGTCTCAGCAACTCTTATTTTGCTCACTAGAATTGCTTGTTTTCCGATTGAATTATACAGAAGAAATGTTCCATTAAAGGTGAGAAATGTTTGCAAATGATTCATTGTGGTCTCAGAGTATTAAATCTGAAAACATAACTCTGCTTATCTTTAGCTATGCTTATATTGCAACCAAGTAGTCAGGATTCCTCTAGTTGGTATCTTGCAATGTTTTAGTATTATAATGTTAATGGACCTTTACTAAATGAATGCACATGAAGTTATTTATTAAGATGCTATTATATTCTTACCTTTTATATGTTACTTAGATCAATAATAAAAAGGTGTAAGTTTAAAAAAATAAAGTATAATCTATATATATAAGATGCTGGTTCTTACCTGATGCAGAAGCAGCATTTGTGCTTGGACCAATCATACGTTTTCTCCACAACGTTCTCTTCACCAAGATGGCATTTGATGGCATGCCTTGTCAGTGAATTGTTCATTTTCATGAACACTCGATCACATGTGACTGATGGGCACAGCGGATATGAGATGTCCATACTGCAACCATTTTCCCCGATTGACGTCTCCATGCCTCCATCCTCCGTCTTCATCAAAGGCAAGTTCTTAATTATCACCAGATCTTCCGTAATGACAACTTGCTCATCCTTGAAATCAATCTCTTTACTCGTCTCTGGTTTGAAGTTCTTACTTTTGTTATGAAAGTTAATCATCTTTTTTAGCAGGATGCGGACATTTCTGATGATTCGTTCTTCCCTGTTGAGACTGAGCAGTTTACTTTGGGGTTTGGGCTTCTGTATGGGGGGTTTGTTTTTGGTGACGGGCAGCTTTTCTTCCTCAGGCTTGAGCTCATTTTCCACGATTCCATTAGCTGGAGGACTTTCCCGCATTTTTTCTGCATTTGGTTTATTAGTGGCCATTTCATTAATGTGCTCGAGAATGTGCTTTTTGGCCAAAGGGAGTTGCTTGAAGCGTTTTCCACAGAAAATGCATCGTAATTTCCTTTTCTTTAAATGTGAGAAGGCGTGCCTCATCACATTCAGACCCTTGGAGGTTTTATTGCAGATCTTGCAGATATATTTTAAATGACTATAGTGTTGAGTCCGAAGCAACCTCTCTCTCCATGTGTTTGAGGTTTTCATCTGGACAAAAAGAAAAAAGTAATATCAAATTTAACAAGACATATAACCTTACAATATAATATGACATATGATTTAGTCTTACACCGTACCAAAAAAAAAAACTTTTCTTTACAGGAATTAAGAGTCTGACACCTTAATTGTCCACCAGCCTTACAATGAAATCACTCTTATAAAATAATAATACATTTTATAGCCACATATATTGAAATAATGTAATGTACAGGGTTCCTACAGAATAAGGCAAGTTAAATTCAAGACTTTTTAAGACTTTTTAATGACACTTGAAATAAAAATTTAAGACCAAATTCACAAGAAACACAAGAAAAACCAGCTTGCGACAACTTAACCCAAAGGTTTATTTTAACATAAACCACTGCACTAATGTTTCAAATTTTGAAAAGCTTCCCATACAGGAAGAAAGCTAAAAACACACAAATGACAGATATATTTTAACAATTATTTAACAGAATTCACAAACTTTGTTTTAGCAGGGAACAAAACAAATCAGTTTTAAAGCCACAACATAACCAGTGCTAAGTCTTTTTTGCAGCTATTTTTCTTTTGCATCGTTTTCTTAGTATGTTTGATTTGGTGATAAGTGGAGGCGTTGCAGAGACAAGTGTGGAACAAAACTGAGAAATACCGTCTGTTTCTTAGTAACTCGATTTTGACGCTTTGTGTTTCGCGCTTTCGCATGTGCGACTCCACTGCCTTAATTCCCATCGTTCCGAGCTTGAATCGCTTCTTGCACAAAATACACTGTGCCTCATATATGTTCCCTGGTTTTAGCCATGGAGAAAACTCTTGGCTGGATAGACAATTTTCATTAGATTTACACTTGCACATATTTTCCAGACAAAAAGTAAATGGCGCATCTCCCAAATGTAACGGCCGCAACAACACTTTTATTGGTTCCGCTATCGGGACGGAACCAATAATGGCGAGCCATTATTTTTTTTTTTATTAAAAAAGGGTAAATTTTAATGTTTTATTTAGATTACAAAAATAAATCATAATAAAAATAATCCTATTTATTATGTTTTAAAAATTAAGACCTATGTAAGACTGATTTAAGACATTTTAATACCAATTAAGTTTTATTTTGAAGAATTCAATGCCTTTTAAGACTTTTAACCCTGTAATGCCAAATGTATCAAATTTGATACACACGGTTTCTGAAATGTTTTGCGTCTGACACCTTTTGCATAATTTAATGGTAAAAACTTTGCTCAAAATCCTATTGTACACAATCGGATATACCTGATAACAGAGGGCAGAAGACTACACAAAAAATAATCTTGACTTATCGCATAGTAATAAATTATTAATATCAAAAATTTATTTCTGTTTTTTCTTTTTACATATTTTGTTCAAACCAAAAAAAAGTAATTTTCTGTTTTGTTTTATTCTTGGATCGGGCTTTAAAAGGTTAAGGACCCGTGGGAACCCTGAATGTAAATTAATTTCTGAAAACATTTCATTACACAAAATATCCCCCGTTTCAAACTACACCAGCTGAGGGTGGCCTCCTGCTGATAGGTCATTCTTATCAGCCATAAAACTGCATTTACTGACACAGAGCCACATGCAGCTCTTTAGCGCCCCCCTTTGCAGCTCCCTGGAGCTTTTTCAAAAATGTATGAAAAAGTTTTTCATTTTTATTTTAATATGGTGTGCAGGAGGTCAAACAGATATTCATCCAATGCTGTAAACATTTGTATAATAAATAAATTTAAACAATATATGTAAACATTAATTACAAAGAAAATGTGCGTCATAGCCATAGAGATCAGTGGTTAAAGCCTGCAACACGTCTCAGCACGGCGCAGTGCCAGGCAAAGAAAGCGGTGGGTGTGTCTTAGGCCGTGGATCAGGGGAAAAAAAGGAAGATACCTGATGAGGACAGGGGATTTAAAGAAGAATGAACTAAATCATTTGTTTTCATTATCAATGCGGAATTATTGCCTGTATTTTTGCTTTGGCACGAGAATTTGACAAATAATAAAAAGATTAATTGGGAAAGGCATTTCCAGGGAAGGCAAGCTAAATATGCAGCCGAACAACAAAGTTGGGAGTGAGAGAAAACGTGCGATTGCAAGTATGTGATTTTTTTTCAATTTTTCTCTAAATCCTCAAAATAAAAACAAGGAACGGTGGTGGAGGAGGATGCGGGATTTCAGGGTTAGAGAGCTCTGCTCTGGTGGATGTCAGTTCCTGCTTAGTTTCTCATGACTCAATCAACTCCTCCCAACAGAAACACGTTCACCATAGAAAGATTCCTTTATCGTATTTCTATAATTTCATCAATGCAACATAACTTAAAACGCATTGTGAAGGTCTCTCCTCATGCTACTATGTGACATTTGCTCCAGGATAAACATTTAATTATGAATGCTTATTATATACTCAAGCCCACGTAGTCCTTTTTTATAGTGGTCTATTACACTTCGAGGGTGTGTTCCCATAAGAGGCTTATACAAGACTTTTCATTTTTGCAGCTCCAGACAGATTTATTTTTTATTTCTTTGGTCCAATATGGTTCTTTGAGCAGTTTGGGTTGCCAACCCCTGTACTAGACCATGGGCAGAAAATAGAATATAAAATTGGAAGAAAAAAAAAGATTTTATCAGCCAACCCGGCCTATTTCTAAGAAGAACTAGCCGACTGATTATAAAGTTATCATTCATCATTCCCAAACTGGTAACTGTGCCCTGTGATGAAGTGCCACAGCAGCCATTCCCTATCAGAGTGAGAAAAGGAAACCAACCTCAGTTTTTGGGTCGTCCGTTTCCACTTGTGTCCCGCCGTCCTGCTTCATGTCTCCATTCACGGCATCTGCTGCGTTGGATTCTGGAGCCTCTGGTTCTTCATCATCAGCTGTTCTAGAAGGAATGGCGTAATTGTGTAGCATCTCTAATGGATTATCCATCAATTCAAAGACTGGCCCGTCAAGCTCAGGGTTAGCTTCAACAGCAGCTTGGGGCTCATGCAACTGATCGTCACAAAGTTTTAACTCTACATGTATTTGAGTTTCCTCTTGAGTGTGTTCACCAAGACTGCAAACACTATTTGTGTCTTCGCCGTTAAGCTTAATAGATTCCTCTTGATGCTCAACTTCATCCTCTTTACTCAGATTTCCCAGTTTAACATCCAAATCAGGTGTACTCTGCTTACTGCATTCTTCTGTTATCCCGTCAAGGCCACATGATTCCTCTGCGAGGTGGATTTCATTATCAGGGAAAGAAAGATCAAGTCTAGGTAAAGGCTTCCTTCCTCGCTTTTTGCCTCCAATTCTTATCTTATGCGGCTGCTCATTAATTGGAAGACACCGCAGCAATTTCTTTTTCCGACCCCTCCTCTTAAAAACCTGGTTCTTGATGCTTTGGGGCAAGTATTCCTCCACGTGGTTTGTTGGAAGCCTTACAGGGGCAGATTTCTCCATCTTAATTGGATTGCATCTTAGTGAGTACATGGGTTTGCTATTTGAAGAATTGGGTTTGAGATTGTATTTAAATTCTGGATCATCAACAATGTCAGGTTCTTCCTCTAACAAAGGTCGCCTTGGTTTCCTCTTCCTTAGATGAATGTGACTTGGTGGAAGACACTTTGGTTTTGATTCCACCGCAGCTGTTTTCTCTGGAAGGTCCTTAGTTTCATCTGCAGCTTGAGTGCTGAGGCAGGATTCAATACAGGGAATGCATTGTTCATTCACACAGTTGTTGGACAAGTGAGCTTCCCTGTATTCCTTTTCCTCTTCTTCTTTCATCTCATTGAGTACAGCGTCCTTCATCACATTATCGCTCATCAACTCCAAGCAGCGAGTCCTGAGAGCGAGGAGGTTCCAAAATTCAGGGTCGAAGCACAGGCGTTCTTTAAGCATCTGGAAAAAGAAAAGAAAAATTCAAACCTCTTAATCACAGTTAAATACTTTACCAAGTATTCTAGCCCATTTCCTTAGTTTTCAAATTATGATTTAACTTATTGAGGAAAGAAGAACAGCTATCCAAATAAACCAGGAAGGGGATTTCTTCCTGCAGACTTAGATCCTGCTGTGAAACAACAAATGGCCTTTGGAGGAATCTGGGAATTCTGGGCCAGTTTTCTCAACAGGAATAATGAACTTCAGTCAAACTGGAGGGTATCTTTTAAAGGGTAACATTTTACCTCAGCTTTGAAATAAGACTTCAAAAGTTTGGATTTATACAGAGATCGACGTCATGGCGGGTAGCTTTGGACCACTGTCCTGCAGAACAACCCAAGCTGAGACAGTGCTTGGTCCAACTCAGAAAAATTCAAATTTGAGCTCGGAACTACATCACAACCCAGGTCAGCCTGTTAATTATAGATGCTTGAAAACAGTAGGATTTGTTGTTTACTTCAATGCAGAGGAGTATCAATAATACACTAACTCTGAATACATCTCCTTTTTCTCTATTCACTGTGTCACTGGTATTAAGAATGAATAAGCTATTCGTATCAACAACTTCCAAGGATTCTTCTTGTTCTGATGTTTGGGAAAATAAATGGAAAAGAAGAACGGACTATTTAATTGTTCACAAACTGATATAAGAATATTAAGCCAGAGGTTAAGATTTTCTGATAGAAAGCAAGATTTATGGGTACAGCATGTTGTCCAGGTCCTAAAGCAGCCCCAGACCATTACACCATCATCTCCATCTCTGTTGGATCTAACAGGACCTAACCTAAACAAATTTTCATCAATCCGCAAAATTATTTTCTTACATTTATTTTTAGCAATAATTTTCTTGATTATCTCAAACTGTTTAATTCTAATAACAACACCAAACTAAAATATGCAAAGTAACTACGACGCTGAACAGGTACATCTTTAAACACTAAAATATCATATAAAAAGGACTCAATATATTTTTTTTAGTTAGTCCAGAAAGTGAAATTCACATTTAGCTTTCAAATTCACAAAAGAAGGAGATCAGAAAACCTTTTCAGATGTTTGTTAATTGATTAGTTCATTGAGGTGTTGTGCCACATGTTAACATAAATCCACCATTTTCTTATAATCTATGACATTAAATTTAGCTTTTTTTTAATACATAGTTCAAAGCCATAATTACTAAGAAATCAAAACTTGAAATATTTCAATCAAATGGTTCATTTTCTGAACTAAGTGGCAAAGATATTTTAACCTTTTTGCTGTCTCCTTTTTTCCCAGATGTACCTGTACGCCCATTTTAAATCTTTTAGATAATGACCTGCAGAATGTGGAAGCGAACATTGGTCCGGAGCGGGTTGTTGTGAGGATGCTGCTCCTGATCTGGATGCCTGTAAAGAAGACACACAGTTCGGTACGCCTCCAGGCTTCGCTCCTGGCAAAAGACCAGCAGGGAACACGCCCGACAGATCTCCAGGTCATAAGGCAGCAGGAAGGCGATGGTTTTGCAGACAAGCGAACGGGTTACAGTGTCACCCTGCATATCACAGAGCTGCAAGGCCCTGGCACAGAGCTCAACAGCAACCTCCACTCCTTTACCACCAAGCTAGAAAAATGAAAAGAAATATCAGTGGAAAGAGTCAGCTGATGCATAATACAACCAAATAAGTAAAGATCAAAGAGTGTAATACTTTGATGTGAAAAGATTTGAAAAGACCAGAGAAAAGCTCACAAAAACAAATATAAGTTTGTTTTTTCCCCCCTTGATTAGAGAGGGCGTTATGCTGAGAAATAACCCGCCTGCCAAGAATTACCTCCCCTCTCGCACACTGATGAGAAAACGGATTGAAATATGAATGAAGAGAAAACGCTTAGATGAATTCTTGATGTTTCATATTTCTTATACAAAGAGGCCATAAAATTGAGTTTTGGTGGACAAATAAATTCCAATGAATATGACTTTTACCGTATTTTCACGACCATAAGGCGCACCGGACTAAAAGGCGCACTCACAGTTATGTGTCCCATTTCTGTATTTAACACACACATAAGGCGCACCGGACTATAGGGCGCGTTTTTTATATACAGGTGCATGTCCTCTACTACCTTTAAATACCTCTACTGCGTATTTAAAAATACAGCGGGGGCAAAACTGAGTATGACTGTGCTTTATTCATGTATTTATTACAAAGTATTAATCAAACCTGGCAGCTGGCCGTGAGACAGACACATGGCAGATGACACAGCGCTGTGATCACTCCTAAATTAACTAAAAATCCTGAAACCTGCCGACAGAATATGTTCGCTTTTATTACCGGTATCCTGGTGCCTGCAGCTAAAATTATTTAGATGAAAAACACCTGCCAGCAGCCGCAGTGAACGAAAGGATTTCTCCTGTCGGTGCACCGCTGGTATGTGGGGGTCTGAGCGCCTCCGACAGAAATAGATAATCTGGATGAACTGACTGCAATTATTAAGTTTTCAGGTGGCCTTTCTCACTTAAAAACATATTAAAACTACTTTATTCCCACTGATCACAGCAAATATAGCTGCAAGATTAAGATTATTTAGATGAAAAAACACCTGCCAGCCACCGCGGTGAAGAGGAGGAGGAGACCAGAGGCAGCTGTTGAATTAAGTTTTCAGGTAGAAAAATAGAGCGGGAGCAAAACTGAGTATGATTGTGCTTTATTCATGTATTTATTACAAAGTATTAATCAAACCCATCAAAGTCATCATCCTCTGTTATCCTCAGCATTCCTCTGAATAAAACAGCTGCGCTAAATTAGACATGCCAGTTTCCCCTTCTGCGCTGTCAGTCACTTTCCGTGCAGCGCAGCTTGAACAACAGAGCCAGCAGACACAGTCCATCTACAATCCATCCGCAAACGGTGGCGTAACTTGCCCGGCGCTGCCTTCCATTTATCATGAAACTGTGGTCTCAGTCTGTCATCCATCGCTCCCACGCCGCTCGCAGCCTTACTGTGAACGGCCGCTTCGATGTCGAGAGGTGGAAGTTCCTTTGTCAGACCCCCGGGATAACGGCGAGCACAGCGTTCATTTGATTCATCTTTTTTTCACATCGGCTGTGAGATGGGCACGCAGCGATGGTGATGCGTGGAAAAAACCACCTAGTCTTCTCACATACACCTGCCTCAGCCACGCATCCACCGAGCCTTTTCATTTGCGTTAATATCATCAGAGCGCTGTCTGTCTCGCTGCCAGCTCCCAGATCAGCTTCTCTGATTGGTTGATGCGGCGCGTCCAGCAGCAAAACTTCAATTTTTCCATCTGAGCAGCAGCAGCGCGTTGGCGGTGCGTCAGATGCTTAAACGCTCCCGACGTGCTGCACCAAAACGCGCTGCGGGACCTTTTGCTGTGCCTATACGCGCGTCAACCATTGACTTTGCATGTAAACTCGCTGCTTCTGCTGCACCTGCTGGGTCCGGTTCACACTGATGTCGAGCGGTTGAACAGCGAGCACAGCATTCATTTGTTTCCCCATGTTTTTCACATCAGCTGTGAGATGGGCACGCATGGAGTTACATATTAACAGCGATGGTGAGGGGTTGAAAAAAAAACACCTGGTCTCCTTACATTCAGCCACTCTTTCATCATCTCCTCAATGAGGTGGTCTCAAAAGTCGCAGTTACAACACACATAGGGCGCACCGCACCATAGGGCGCACCGCACATTTTGAGGGAAAAAAAAGACGTTTAAGTGCGCCTTATAGTCGTGAAAATACGGTACTTATAAGGACACACGTTTAAGTCAATGTGCTATACAGTCAGGTTCCGATTAATATATTCTCTGCTCAGTGGATGCATTTCCTGCTTTTGCTATCAACACCAATCTAGATAATTTCTCACAAAACATTGAGAACATGTTTAAAAGTTCCCTTTTCGTTCATATTTCAATCCATATTCTTATCAATGTGCGAGAGTTTAGGGAGAAGCGAGCTCCCGCAACAGGGGAGGTAATCCTCGGCAGGCATTTATTTGTCCGCCAAAACTCCAAAACTTTTAGGGCATCCATGCATTTAAATATGAAAACATTAAGAACATGTTTAAAAGCTTCCGTTTCGTTCACATTTCAATCCGTTTGCTCATCAGTGTGCGAGAGGGGAAGTCATTCTCCGCAGGCAGTTATTTCTTGGCATAACAAGTGGCAAGTAAGATTATTTGTCAATACAATAAGATGATTTAAGCCTACAATAAGAAAAATAACTTTTTTTTTTAGGTGTACCACATCTAATTATCTTAATTTAAGGGAATATATAGTCATGCATTATCTGATCCTCTAATTTTTAGATCAGTTTTTCCCTGGGATGATGCTGTGTAGGATATCGTACCTCAGTAAGCAGTTTGATGAAGGGGAAAATGGCTCTGACATTGGTGGCAGATGAAGCTAGTTCCAAACATTCAGCCAGGAAGCCTTGTCTGGAGGGATTGGACCTGAGATGCAATCGGCTCCAGATGAAGACAAGATCCCTGCAAGAGAGGTGAAATGGTAAATGGAGTCTACTCTCGATATGCAACAGTCACCCACTGTCAGGTAAATGATATCTACTTTTACATTTGTACTGCTCGGTTCTAGTGCAACCTTTTAAAGAAGGATTGCTGGAAGATGTAATATAAGTGTATAAACTTATGGAGTGTAGTGGTTAGAGCAATGGCCTGGAAACTTAAAGTCCAACCTTTTCTAAACATGAGAGAACATGTAGTCGTATCTTAAAGCTCTTTAGACTGCTGGGATTTAACACTAAACTGTTTGCACCCAGGGAACAAACTCTCAGCACCTACAGAGTGGAGTTACTTAAACTGCATTTTTAAATATCTCCATCAATCTGATTGTCTTGGATGAAAGACGGTTTGACTCTTATGTCTAATGAATGTGCAAATGTTTGCTGAATAAATCAAAGGCCAACTAACTTGGACAAACAGCCTTGTTGGTGCCTTCTATTACATTTCTATCAATCTCCCACTTACCAGATGTAGTACATGTCGCCTTCAATCAGCTGCCGGGTGAGGAAAGCTTTGCACAGGGACAACAGCAGCTCGTCTTTTTCCACCCTCTCTGTGTTGCAGATGATCTCGACGGCATCGCGGCCGTCTATTTCCGCCATCTGGGGAACAGGATCGTGAAGTTAGTAATTACAAAGAGATACATGATACAAGTCTGTCAACATAATTATTGCTTTAATAGAGTTGATGCTAAAAAATGTAGATTACAAAAAACACAAGATTGGGACACAGTCGTCCAACTTGAACATCTTTAAACACTCAGCCTCTTCCTATGGCGGCTCAACTGTCGCTGAAAGTTTTCAACTCTGCTAACATAACAACTACTGTTAAAAAAAACAGAGAAGTATTGCTTAGAGAAGAGCCTGAAATCTACTTTTGAAATTGGGAGAAATCCCCCCTTATATGCTTGAGAGTGGGGGGATTTATTCATTTTGGTGGGGGGGATTATTAGTTATTGACTACAGGTCTTATGTTGTGCTAATCAAACCTCAGATTACGGTCCTTTTAATTTTCCACCTTTTGTCTTCCTAGCCGTTGTTTCAGCTGCTCTGTCTTGTCTTTTTTTCCCTCAATTGTTGGTTAAAGGAAGAACATATTTTCTAGGATGCAAAATCTTCCAGGGGAAAAACTTCTAAGGTTACCTACGCAGCTTAATATATTCTTACCTCGGAGCAAAGCATATATATGCAAAGTTTTGTTTTGGACATTTCGTTTTCTGCAACAAAGTGAGCAGTTTTAAGAAGCCCCTTTATTTCTTCTTCACACTGAACTTGCACATCGTGGATAGTTTTTAGCCCTGACATTTTTAGCTGAATCTGCCTCAGGTTTCCTTTTCACTGCTGCAGTGGGAGGAACACCATCAGAATGGCAGCAGAAAGTTGCGGTTTTTACAGCTTTAGCTGGTAAAGGTTACGGAACTGTACATTTTAATGATGGAGCAGCTCATCTCATTTCACCGGGGATGCAGCTTGAGGCAGTTAGTCTGAATTGCATTTTTCGGCTGCTAAGTGATATTGACGCCTGTTGGAGGATCGGTGGTCGATCACTGGGTCCGGCATGACTTTTGATTTGAGTTATTTTTTTAGAAGCTGGTTCGTCTGCTGATGCGATGATAGATTTGCGTTTTAGCCTGTGATCCATATTTGGAATATTTTAAAGGTTAAAGACATTACATCTGACAAAAACTGGTTTGCTAGCCAAAAACTACACTGTGCTCTAAGTGAAGAAGAAAAAAAGAGACGTAGAGGAGCGCGCACCAGTAAGTAGCGGAGATGTTCTTATTCGTCTAAATCTGAAAAATGTCCACATTAGTAGCTACACATCACCATGATTTTCTTAAGACGGAATTTCCCGCATTATAAAAACTGGATTAGTGGGGATGGATCAGATATTGCACCATTCCCAGCTAATTCACTGTGAATTTTAGGCCCTGGCTTAGAGGCAAGAAAAAAAATTATAAAATGCTGAAGAATGCCAGAGGCCAGCTGGACACTCAAGCTGAGAACAGCTAAAAAAAAGTCAGTACATTTTCTGCATCAGCTACAGTTAAAAGTAAACCTCCAAGACGACATTAACTAATGATGTCTGTTTAAATGGTAGATTCAAGGACGCAGAAAGCCTGGTTACAGGCCTGAGCCGGTTTGAGTTCCCCAGTCAAGAAGCTCTTCCCAGTTGCAGAGTTCAAATCTCTTGCAACTTAATGAGCTGATGGCTCATAGGCAACTTTAGGGTAGAGATACAAAACAAACCAGTCTGTCACCTTACTCCTCATTTTTCCTCCAGAGGTAAAAAAAAACTGGAGGCAGGAACTAGACTGAAGTGGACTATTTAAGCAGAAACAAATGTGGGAACCTGTTACTGTAGCTGATCACTGAAGAAGACATTATGCTAAACTACCAGAAAAAGACAGATATTTTACATAGCTGGTGTTGAATTCATTTGCACAGACAAGATCCTTGTTTTATACTGTAAAAAATATGCTGCATTTGCATCAGATCGAGGTTTGTTTTGAGACACGATTTAAAAAAGTATAGAATAAGATCTTATTTGGCCCCCAGTAGTAAATCTTTTTGTTGGAATTAGAAATATACAAAAGAAGAAAAAACACAGTTGCAGATTAGAGAAAATCAAATGTTTCCCAGACTGTATTAAAGGTACACGAAGAGATTAAAAATATTAACATTAAAAATTTTACTTAGTTCTGTTTTGCAAACCGAGACTAAGAACTGAATAGTTGTCCACTTTTTAGTGTAATAAGGAAATTACAACAGTGCCATAATTATTTGAGAGAGATAGAAACATCGGCCGGTTGATATTTCTGGTTGATTTTATTATTTTTTTCTTAAATCAGCATCAATGTTTGCCTATTTCTTAGTGCATTCAGCAGCCATGCCTTAAGATCACCTGAAGCACATATATCGTCGTTGCCACTATTGCTATCATTTGTTCATTTTTTGATGATTTGATAATAAATGTTTTGCTGTTATTTAAATTTAAACCGAGACGTGTTAAATATTTGTTAGCAGTTTCATTTGTATCATGTAAATGGGGAAGAAAAAGCAATATTGTGTGCAAGAAATACCAGCAGCGCAAATCAGGGATTAGTTTCACTAATGTCAAAATAATAGTTATCAGCCTTAAAAAAGAAAAGGAAAGAAAGTCGATCTCTAATGTCTACAAATCATTTTGCTTGAACCTTGTACTTTTAAATAAATACAGCAGTTAGAGTAAAAAATTGTATTAAGTTATTTTCTAAATATCTGTATTAAGTTTGAAATGTTTGTGTTTCAAAAACCCTAATTGAATAACACCTTTAAAATTTTTTTTTGCTTTTCAGCTGACTGAATAAAACACACAGTTTAATCCAAATAAAATTCCTAAAACCAAAATCTTGCTGTCACTGGCCTTATTCCATTGGGTTAGAGACATTCTCAAAAAGCCCTCCATGCCTTTACCTCCTTCTGAAGGTTCTCATACAGAGAGGCCTTGTAGAGGCTGGTCAGGTAGGCCTGATGGAAATAAAGATGCTTTCCAGTCTCCTGGTTTTCAAGGCAGACTTTAGAGAGAGCCATGGCCTCCTGAATTCGCTCGCACGCCTGCAGGTATCGCACCCGCAGCTCCAAAAATATAGGCAGCTCTGTACTCAAGTAGTCATCAGCTGTCAAAAAGAAGAGCACATTGTTCAGTTTAAAGCAGTATTTGCATACAGATGTCCTGTTTCTATCATCAGATAACCATCTAAAATCCAAACATTATTTTAGTTTAGTGCGGCAAACTTATACACTGCCTGCCTCAAAGCCATATTTAAATCCAGTTGAATTATGGTATTCTAATACGAAAAATGTTCAAGCTTCCAATCAAGTCCATTAGACAGAGTTTAGGTCAACAATCGGGTTATTTAAACATTTCGAATATGAGAATATATCTGTATCTGGAGAAACTGATAGAATAGACTAAAGAGCCATGAATGATAAAAATGAGAAAGTGAGCTGGGTGGGACATGACATCAGATAAAATACGACTGACAAAATAAAGCATAACATTTTTCTGCACTAGAAAGCAACAGAATTTGCACACATGAGGAGCACCGACTTCAATTATTTGTATGAAAATTGTGGATAAAAAAAGAATCTTGCAGACATTCCTGACTGTGGCAGCACACTGGAAAAACTATCTAGAAATAAGTAAAAATTTCGTAAATGAAGTGTATCTACCCTTAATTTGAGTAGGTAAATGAGATAGTTTGCCAATGGAATGAGTATTTCTAATCTTAAAATAAGATATTTAGATCATATGCACTTGAATTAGGACAATGCAATTGTGTGTTCTTATTTTAAGTTTAAATTGTCTTGTTCCATTGGCAAAATGTCTCTTTTACCTCCTCAATCCAAGAACAAATGCAGTTATTATAATTAAAATGACTGATCTAGATTTCGAGTTTTTCCAGTGCATACTTTCTTCCCCAACAGTAATCACCATTTCCCACTATTACTAATACTGCTGCTCCAGTATGTGAGAAAATCTATCAACTTTAGTTTGACAAGATATCGATTCAACAATATATATTCAATATAATCCATCATTGCACTTTTATTTTCAATAAACACAAACCTTCCCTCTGTGGCACTTCTGCTCCTTTTAATATTCTTTTCAACACTGGATTCTCCCATGGACCTCCGCCCTTGATAACCTGCTTCACATGATGAACATAGATGTTCCTGTGTCTTAGAAGTTTGGAGTGGCATTCCTGAAAAATGAATAAATAAAATATTTACTTGTTCAAGATGGCTTGAAATTAATTTACTAATCAGAAGCTGGGACACTGCATAAATACAGTAATCAAACATATTTAGTAACCTGAAAACAGTCAAGGATGTGTTTCAAAGGCTCCTCCACAAATTCCTCTTTGCTAAAGAAAAGCATGAGTTCAAAGAAGCTCCTGCAAGAGAAAAAGGATAGACATTAACCTAAAATTTTAAAAAATAAACAAAAAAACTCCCAACAAATGCATAAAAGCCAAAAGCTAAAAAGGGTCGGGGGGGTGGGTGTTTATCAGAGATACAGGATAATTAAAAAAAGAATAGATTTTCTAAAATATACAGTGTCAAAACGAGTTTTTCTCAAAGTGCTCAAATAGGAGAAGTAAAGTAAAGCTCCTTTGTTTTATTCCTTTAAGCTTAAACGTTTGTTATGGTGCATGCTGGATTTGGAAATAATGGGAATTTTTTTTCAATAAAGATTACCTAAAAAAAAAAAACATACAGAGACTGATTTTTCCATGCTAATAATTAATATTAAATAATTGATCATTTAAATAGGATCATGTTTAACAGTGACTGTTCTCATATCATACAGTATGAAGTTGTGTCTGCTCATTTCATAAACTGCTAACAGCAAAAGGAATGAAAGACGGGAACTGTGATAACCAATAAAGAGCAGAACGTCTAAGGTTGTGTAATATAAAGTATTCTATAATAAAGGATTGTGTCCTTTTATTTTGTAATTTTGTTAAATCTATGCATCAAACACAAAATGACAAATGGGAAAGGTATTTTTTTGTGATAAAATAAGAATTTTCATTTTTTGAGTCAATTCCAGCAAGCCATAGTTATTTATTTTTTTTAATACAACACTTTTAGAATCTCATCCCAGCCCTAATCCCTTAAGGCAGAGGTCTTCAACAGGGAGTCCGGTACTGCATGGTGGTCGTGAAAGTTTTGGTTGATTAGACTTTTTTTTTTTATTCCCCCCTGCAATTATTTCCACTAATTGAAATGTCTTTAAATCCACATTAACATGAATTCAGCACACTGTAGTAAACAGATAAATGGAGGCAGAAGATGTATTTCAGTTATCAATGCACACATTCAGCGACACACAGGAGCTCTTTCAAGCTGGGCACCATTTCATTAACGACACCTGTCCCATCAACCAGGAATCAGAAATACTTTAATAATCCCAGGGTGAAATTACTTTTGAACTCCATCTGTAATACAGTGACTATAGAACCAGTTCTATATAACACAATTTCATACAATATATAGGGGGTCACCGCTCCATCTTGCCATCAGTTCGGGGGTCCTTGGCCCTGGAAAACATTGAAGACCCCTGCCTTAAGGCAGCCATTACTTCTGTGCCAGAATTGACATATGATATTTTATGGTGACTACAACTAAAATAGGCTTAAAAAAGTACTCACAGGGCCAGACTGCTGAGAACATATTGGACATGCTGACAGGCATCAGGAAAGGCAGCTGTGGCTTTGGTAAAACTGCAGAAAGCAGCTCGCAGCACCTTGAGTTGAGGCAGAGGAACATGCCACTGGCTGGTGTATTCCTCAACCAACTGCCCAGAAAACAACAATCAGAGCACATTAAAACACACATCTACCACATGGGTTAACTTCAGCTAACATTTTACTGTTCTCTCCTCTAGGTCAGTCATTTTTCCATAAATAAATGTGTTTATAGTACATCACTGATCAGATTACCATTGAATGAAAACGTACAAAGTTAATAATACATTAACAATCTTTAATTTTTCCTACCGTAAAGCATGTAGCTGATCACTTTAACAAGTCACAAAAAGTAACCCAACTGTCGCTTTATTGACCAAATGAAACGCAGTGTACATAGTTTCTATAAATATATATTAAATGTTCAGTTAACAGTAATATACACATAAAAAAAGCTTTAGTCTACCTTTAGTTCTCCTGTCAGTTAACTACAGCTCGCAACGTTTAACGCTCAACACGCTGTGTACACATAAACCTTGTTTCGTTTTTCTCACCATTCAGTTAGCTTAGCATGAATGAAGAGCTACACAGTTAAACCTTTTCGAATGACATATTACTAAAACGGCCTTGGAGCAGTTAATCTTATTCATTTATTGTTGTATTTATCGAGCGTCTACCCGTGTGTTGTTCATGCCTGCTAGTGTAGACTTATAGCTGAATAAATAGAGCTAGTCTGGAGGCTAACGAGAGCTACAGAAGCTAGGAGTGTTAGCACAAAACAAACTCCCATTTTGGCTAAACTGTTTCCTCAAACACACCTCACAAAACTTGGAGCAGTAGTCCTTGCTGTTTAGAGACGATTCGTCGCTGCAGTATCGGAGACACAAAGAATCGAGGGCTAATTCGAGCCCGTCTGTTTCCAAATCACTCTCGTTGTCCGCCATACTGTATGCTGTTTCCAGCGCATAGACACGGTTGCCAGGTCTGCCCCATAATATATTTCACCTCTTCAAGAAAGCCTACCAACCTGGCAACCGAGTATACACAGCGAAAGTGCTGATTTAACAGTTAGGTGATTAAATATTTGCCAGTTGCTAGAGCTTATCATTCTCTACGGCAAGCTGGCAATGTTAATGTTTGAAAGCCTGTATGGATAAATAAAAAAAAAGGTTTAACTTACATCTGGCATGATGTGTACCTCTATTGTTATCATTGTTATTGTGATTTCTATCTATCTATCTATCTATCTATCTATCTATCTATCTATCTATCTATCTATCTATCTATCTATCTATCTATCTATCTATCTATCTATCATCTATCTATCTATCTATCTATCTATCTATCTATCTATCTATCTATCTATCTATCTATCTATCTATCTATCTATCTATCTGTCTATCTGTCTATCTGTCTGTCTGTCTGTCTTGCACAGCTTCTAGTTAAATAACATGCTGTTGTCATTTTGCACATCTCTAATGCTGCAGCTATTTGTCAAATATCCATTACTGTAAAATTGTCCATAGCTGTATATTGGTTATTGATTCTCCAGGTGCACAGTTTTATATTGTTAAAATACCTCACAGTGCAGTATTTTATTGTTTATCTTTTAACTTTTCACTAGTTAGTTATTCTTATGCATTTTTCAAAGGTCCACATTTGTGTAACAATTTTCTAAATTTTTCTAAAAAAAATTTAAAATGTTTTTGCTGTAAAAAACAGAATTTTCTCATTGTGGGACAAAAAAAATTATTTTCTTTCTTTCTTTCTATATCTGTCTGTCTGTCTATTTATATCTGTCTGTCTGTCTTTGAATGGCAAACTAGTTAAATGTACAATATGTTCAAAATAGCACCTCACATCGATTTGGTGGTGATAGCTTCCCGTTATGGGGATGCTGTTCCCCACCAGAAGCAGGAAAGCTGGAGGCAATTGATTGCATGAGGTATGGAGCTAATTACAGGGAAATAATTGAAGAAAGCGTGGAGAAAATATATTTTTAATATACATCCAAACTAAAAGAGAAGGGTTTTCTATCCTTATATGTTGTTTTATTACATTAAATACAGCTGTACCGTGCACAAACTCCTGTCCAGGCAACATCTCTCTCACTGGAGTTTCATGAATGTTGTCTTTGTTAATTTATAAAGAGTCCAATTTTTCTAAATGAATGTTTGGCTAGTTTTATGATCTAGAAGTGAATATGCTTTCCATTGTGCTTGGTAAGATTCTCAGTCATCCAGGTCATAGTCATTCCAAAAAAGTTAAAATACAAACCACTGGACTTTATTTTCCAAGTTGAAAGATGTTTTGCTTTCCATCCAGGAAGCTTTTTTAATTAAAAAAAATCAGAATTAGCGTTGAGTTCCAAGCTTTTAAGAGTAGCCACACTGGTGTGCTTTCCATTGTGTCTAACATTATCCAAAACCTTATTTGTGAAGCTTAAATTTGCAGCTCATCTGTGTTCTTTTCATATCAGAATTGATTCTGGTGAGAAATGTTTAGTCCTTCAACATTTTAACTGTTCTATTCAATATTGGCCCAACTATTTTGTCTTGTATTGGTCACCCACCTGAAACAGATGTGTCATTTAATGCCCATGTGCAATTTATTTCCTCTTCTAAAAGTGTCAAAGGGTATGATGCTAAAAATCACACCTTTACAAACACACACACTTAAAGAAAAAAATATTAAAAACATCCAGGAAAAAATGTTTGAGAGGTTTGGCCCTTTATTAAACAGGGATTTGGTTAGAGTACTTGCAATAATATTTACTAATCTGGTTAAAGATTAGAGTAAAATATTTAGTACTTGTAGTAAACACAGTTTGGTAGGACCGGTAACCTCAGGATATATTCAATGTTTTCATATCTTAGGTAAAGACTTGCAAAAAGGGATTTTTTTTATTTCAAATAGGTGGTAAAAGGAAAGTTTTTCAAAAGTAAAAATAAAGATGAAATCAATAAACATGGAATTCATAGTTATTAACTAATGTATAGGTAGGGGGAAAAAAAGAGAGATTTTTAAAAATTTCTAAACATTTATTAACCCGAGCTTAGAAATGTCCCAAAAGCTCAAAAGAAACTTTTCCTTGATTATTCAGAAACGGAGAGGACAAATGTTTTAAACTCCATTTATTTATTTTGATGGAGGAAGATAGATGAGCCATATCACATATTTTTTATTCATACATCTTTCTTTAGCAGCAGAGTTGCAGGTCATCACAACCAAGTGGGAAGTCTAGATCATCTCTTAGCCACAAGAGGGCGCCATTACACAACAATCTGAAACGTGTCAAATCACAATCTTTCAGCAGACTGAATGCAGTTTCATCAGTAAAATATCATTGTTATTCCTGTACAGCTCTCTACATAAATACAACTATACACTTATGTTGTCTCTTAAAAAATAACTCTTCATATTTGCAACCTCATGTTTTGTAATTTTCTTTTAAATTATTCAGACAAGGACACACATGGATAAAAAATAAATACACAGTTACTGGAAAAGATGCATACATATATATTCCACTCCTATTCTTATCTTATTTCGATGGCATAGAGTACACCCTCACACTTGACTCATCACCCATCATTCCTCACATATCACGTACTTTCTTCAAGATGGTTAAAAAAACAGGAATTCTATTCCAGGGATTTGAGTGGGTGGAATATAATGAGGAATTCTCCACCAGTAACTCTAACGCTTGATTAACCCTGTGCAGGCTACGGTGTGAGAGGTAAGCAGGCTTCGTTTTAGTAACATTTTTAGGAGCCAGAATTCAATAATCATAATATAATATCACAAATTAAGAGATAATAAAAAGCTGCATTTGTTACAGTCTTAAAGGAAATTTTCTTGCATGAACAGCAAGCTTAGATTATAAAGTTTTAAACATTTACCTGAAAATTGCAAAGACATCTCAAACAACTGATATATGACTTGAATGGAAAACTGGTTATACCAGGGAATGTTTTCTATAATATGTTCCCAACAAAAAGGCTATGCCAGTTTTTCTTCTTTTACTAATGTGCTGCTGAGTTTTGTGGCAGTTTTAGCTTTACATGGCCCAAGTTCAGACACACACACACACACAAACCCAACATAAAACATATAAATGAAAAGAAGCATGAAGCATGGCCTAAGAAAAAGAGGATATGGTAATGAGTGTATGTTACCTTTGGCCAGGACTACCTGGTTTCTAGATTCTTAACTCTTTACAGTAGGTCCAGTTCTGGCAGGTAGTTTTGACTCATGTTTGACTGCATAACAATAAGTGATAAACTCATTCCAGTAGTCCTTTATAATTCTGGGCCGAGAGCCTAAAATAATTTATTTTGGCACAGTAAAAAACATATTCAATACACATCTTTGAACTCAGAGATCGGGGCAACTCAGTAATAACCTCATAGTCATATTTAGGTTTTGACTTCACCAATGATGTGAGCTCAGATACATTACCTATTTGTGTTAAAAATCTTCATACTTTGGATCTTGTGCTGACATACGGCATAGAATGTGAAGAAATAACAGTATTTCCTCACAACCCTGTCCTCTCTGACCACTTTCTAATAACCTTCAGGATTACTTTAACAGAGTTCTCCTCCCCCAAAAGAAGGTTCAATTTTAGTAGATCTTTATCAGATAGTGCAGTTATAAATTTTAAAGAATCTGCTTCACTTTCTCTCTCCTCTGTGTCACTGAGCAGTGCTGCAGAGTGCAAAAGTTTAGCTTATTCGCCTTCACAGGTTGATGATTTTGTTGATGGGGTTGCTAGTTCTCTGCGTATTGCCTTAGACAACGCAGCTCCTTTGAAAATGAAAACCGTTAAAAATAGAAAGCTTGCTCCTTGGTTTAATGCAGAGCTGCGTACTTTGAAGCAAAATGCTAGGAAACTGGAGAGAAAATATCGCTCCACAGGCCTGCGAGAGTCCTTCCTAGTCTGGAAAAATGGTTTACTGCTGTATAAGAGGACCCTTTGTAAAGCAAGAGCAGCATACTTCTCCTCATTAATAGAGGAGAATAAGAATAATCCTAGATTTCTTTTTAATACAGTTGCCAAACTCACCCAGAGCCATAGCTCTGTTGAACCGTCCATTCCACCTGCTCTTAGCAGCAATGACTTTATGGGATTCTTTATAAATAAGATTGATCTTATTAAAAATAAGATCATAAGCACTCCTCTATCCGCGATTGTACCTGAGGTAGTCATGGAATCTGAACTGGGTTTAGACTGCTTTGATCCAGTTGAACTCTCTGAATTAGCAAAATTATTGTCTTCATCTAAGCCTTCAACTTGTATGTTAGATCCAGTTCCAACCAGGTTATTTAAGGAGGTATTCCCTTTGATCTCCTCCTCCATTTTAGATGTGATTAATCTATCTCTGTTACAGGGATATGTACCTAAAGCTTTTAAGGTTGCTGTAATTAAACCTCTGCTTAAGAAACCGTCTCTTGACCCAGATGACTTGGTCAATTATAGACCTATATCCAATCTTCCTTTCTTATCCAAAATTCTTGAGAAAGTAGTTGCCAAACAAGTTTGCGATCACTTCCACCATAATGAACTTTTTGAAGAGTTTCAGTCTGGCTTTAGAGCTCATCATAGCACTGAAACAGCTCTGGTGAAAGTCACTAATGATATTCTCATGGCCTCAGATAATGGACTTGTATCTGTGCTCGTCCTGTTGGATCTTAGTGCTGCATTTGATACAGTTGACCATAATATTCTTTTAGAAAGACTTGAATATTTTGTTGGAATTAAAGGAACAGCACTAGACTGGTTTAAATCTTATCTATCTGATCGAATTCAGTTTGTTCATGTTAATGATAGATCTTCAACACGCTCAAAGGTTACCTGTGGAGTACCACAGGGATCAGTGCTAGGACCAATTCTCTTTACTTTATACATGCTCCCAATTGGTAGAATTATTAGACAGCATGGGATTAATTTCCACTGTT